ATCCCCCTGTCGGTGAACACACCTACGCGACAGATCATTGGCTCTCCCACCCAAAGAATACACCGACCGCAACAGTTGGTGGGGATTCCGTGGATATCCTAAGAAAGGATACAAAGAAAATCAGAAATAACTAATTAAACAAGAGTGAATGAGCGCAAGCTCAAGCAGAAGACCTGAGACCAGAAGCCAAACCCGACAAATCCTAAAACGAAAACACTCAGTCCAGCATCGATACGTCCATATACTAGGAAAAGAAACAGACACTGCAAACCTAGCTCCATATCCCGATACTAGTTGTACTATTTGTGACCCTCCAGCGGATCTAGACGACGAAGGATATCATCAATTGGTGTATAGACTCTCAGAGTTTGATCCACAATTAACTATATCAAGAGAAAACCAGCTTGAATATTTTAAATTTGACGCGGGTCAAAATCGGTCAGCAGGAAATTTAGCTAGACGTCTGAAAACATTCACGTTTTGGAAAATACCAGCAAACTATACGATACTTGCAAGAAACATAATTGACCCCAGCTACGACGTCACAGTTTTACCATCCGAGTTAACTGAAGAAGAAATCGAAAACTATCAACAAGAAGTAATAGATAACTGGGTAGTAACTACAGTCCAAGTTCAACCAGTTCAGATAAATTACCCAGAGACGCCAGTTAACCGAACCTTTACCCCGCTCCGACAAGAAATTCAACAAGGGAGTCAGTTAATTCGTCGATTTCAGGATATCTTTTTTGCGGAAGAAGATAACCAATCACGCCCAGCATCGCCTCTAACAGTCCAAACTATATACAGGGATTCTATCGACCCTACGAACCCTACTGACATACAGCAATTAGTACAAGCACGTGAAGAATACGAACAAGAACAAGAAGAATTTGAACGTCAAATCGCAGCACGTGAATTACCAGAAACTGATAATTTATTCGATTCAGAAAACGAATCGGAATCCGAAAACGAAGCGTTAGACAAAGGCAAACAAAAGGAAGTAATCAAAGGATTACTAACCCCTGAAGACGAAAACGCACAATACCTCGACCTAGTATTACCGCCACTTCCACAAAACCAAGAA